GTTACTATAGCGTGATGTTGCGTGATGCACGTTAAGCACCCCAGACAAGCAGTTGTACAGAAATCGAAAATTTCATCGTGTCTGAGACGATACGCCCACTGGGGCTGACTTACTTTCAGCTGCCGAAACATACACAAATGCCAATATTACTAGTGTAAAAGCGATTTTATAATCTTGTTGATATTTAAAGACCAATGATCAAATTACTTTTCTCATCGATCAACACAATGTTGGCAAACAAACCCGCGTTTGCCCACCGAGTGAGGACACTGCACTCGCGCAGAAACCAGATTCGCCTAAGGCGAAGGATCTGCTCATGCGCAGTGCCGACAGCAGCGCCACCGCATCGGCGTGACGTCAGAGAGTTGAGTTGGTCTTTATATAAGCGGAAAGTTTGGTCATGACATTACGATTAATAATATGGGGTCTCAAATGCGGACCACGCAGCAGATCTGCACTACGCGGTTGGGTGAAAGACTTGGGCCAATTGATTTTCCATATCGAAGATAAAAAAAAAATTATACAGAAAGATTCATTGGTGGATTCTTCGGGAATGCGTTAGCATGATCCTTTAAAACACCACACACCACACACATCCCCCTTTAGGGAACGCTAACGCTGACCCTTTCGCCTTTTCTTTTGGTGTTTGGGGTCAGTGTTAGCGTTTCCAAAAGGCGGACGTGTTTGGCGTTTCCCAAGGTTCATGCTAACGGATTCCCCAACTATCGACCAGTGGATCTTCCTGTAATTTTTTTCACTACATTTTTGTACTCTTCCTGTCAGAGTACGTCAACGCCCTTGGATGCGGTATTCCATTTCACTCTTGGAAGGAACCACATCCACACCACTCGCGGACGGAACCGCATCTATATCACTCGTAAAATGAACAACATCCATCGTTTTAACTACACACATGCATCACAGCCCACGGACCGCTCCCACAAAAATTTAAAGCGAAGAACACTCTGCGAGAGCAGAGCGGCAACTGAGCATGCCCGCATTCCACCACGCCGCGGCGCGACACCTCCTAGATGACAAAGCCGTAGTGTTGAATGAGATGGCGTCATCAGAGAAGGCCAACGCTGGGCAAAGATTGGACAAGACGATTGCGTCAGCTTTCGCCTCAAGCTCGACTCGAAGCCGAGAGCTGACGCAGCTTCCAAGCTGTGTCCAGCGTTGGCCTTCTCTGATTAAGCAATCTCAGTCAGCACTATGGCTTTGTTATCTAGGAAGCGTTGCGCGGCGCCTCCTATTCTTTGGCTCCGCGCCAGCTATCCGTGTGACTCTTCCGAAAACGAAAGGGCTCGTTTTGACGAAAACCTGCCGGTGTCTGTCAGTTTGTCAGCGCCGGAGAGAGAGGGAGAGGTCAACGCGTGCTCACGTCAGTGCTTCGGACCAGTGAGAGCGTAGCATAAGACAACTGGCAAACGGAAGACGCCTCCGTGTTTTGGTCAAAACGAGTAGCGCGAACAAGGCGAAGGACAAGAGGAGACGTAGACAGTCAAAGCGCTGACTCTCAAGTGAAGTTTAGCGGAAAGAACACATAAAAATCGCCGTGAATAAATAGGACGCAATTCTTATCACCGTGGCATGCATTATATGTGTATCATACACGTGCCCCCAGGAAGGCCAGTTTTCTTTTTTTTTACCAAACAGAGCGATCGAGGGCGCATTTACACGCACGTAATTTTCACATTGAGATATGTTGTACGCCTCGCCAATCTCCCAAGGTATTTGCTGTCTATTCTCCCAGGATTACTGTGTCTTCTAACACAGGCTAAAAGCCACATCTGTCGCAACGAAGGGCGAGATTGCCCGTGGGCGATGACCTCATCAAGAGCGCGTTTTCTCTTAGCCTATAGTTTATGCAGCGGCATGTTTGGCCGATGTAAACTCTACTACATGAAAAAGGTAACGGATAAACGACACCCTCCCTACACTGAACACACTGTTTTCTGTGTTTCTTTGTGCATGCATCACCCCTCGGTTTACTCCGATCAACTCTCGCACATAGCCTTCCCAACTTCGATGGGGCTGAATACACGACCGGGAAGCTATGTCCCGGTGGTGCTTTCCCCCATCGTCACTTTCTTTTACTTATGAGTCACCTTGTGTATCTACGGCGTAACCACTGGCGTAACCACTTCATCTACGGCATCTAGTGCATCTACGGCGTAGGCACTTCAGTTGTTATACTACCATACTTCTCTGCGTGTGTCAGTACCTTAATGAGGCTCTCTGCCACATCCTCGAGAAGGCCGTGCGGATACTTCACATTAGTTAGACTCTCTAATTGTATTGAAAAACTACACCTCATCTTATATGGGCATGAATTACCTGAGGCCATTTTCAGGTAGGTTACGTCGATTCCCCTTTTACCACAATGAATTGAGTGGAATTTAGAAGACACAGTCGTCCTGGAGGGTATAGACAGCAAACAACGCGAGAAGTTGCCGAGGCGAACAACATATCTCGATGTGGAAATGACGTGCGTGTAAGTGTGCCTTCGATCGCTTTGTTTGATGAAGAGCTGACCTTCCTTGGATGACGTGTAGGGTATGCATAAAGGGGAAAGGTGAAAAAGATTGCGTCCTATTTATTCACTACGATTTTTATGTTTTGCTTCCCAATAAAATTTGGTTGAGAGTCAGCGCTCTGTCTGTCTACGTCTCCTCTTGTCCTTCGTCTTGTTCGCACTGTTTTGAATCTTCAAGATGCACTACGCACTTTAGTGCACCACCTACGTAATCCTTACCTGCCCACAAAATGGATCTCTATGGAAGACGCTGTCGCCGACGAAGTGCGTGGTTTCCCCATTGGGTAATGGCATTTCTGCGACCCAAACACAGTTCACAGCTGTCCAGCGCACAATCCGCAATGCCGCACCGCTAATGATATCTGTTTCCCTGGAACACCTACCCTAGCGTGGCGCCAGCACGCTGTTGTAGCAGTGGTACATATAAGGATGCATCGCTCTCATGTTTGCTTCGGTAGAAAAGAGCGCGTTTTTCAGGCACAAAAACGCAGGGCGTTTTTTAGCCTCGACTGCTTTTGTGCCACTGTCGAAATGCAGCGCATTTTCGGTGCACCCATAAATAGCCACTGTGCTGGCAGCCGGCTTTCTAGTGACGAATCTGTCACGCGACCACCGACTGGCGACTCGAACCCGCGAAGCCAGCGAGGAGAGCAGGGACCAGGAAAGGCCGACTAAAGTCACTTAATGTTATAAAAGTAGCGCAATGTGCGCCGATGCACGAGGCACGTGCAACGTGCAGCCCTTGGGAAGATCATGGCGGCACAGCGCAACACTGAGCTAGATTACACTGTAGCTAGATTTCAGACGATATGTTCTTCCCAAAAGTGGCGCGCGGCACGTGTCCGGAGCATTTCCACAAGAATCAATAGACCTGTTGCTATATTACCCAAGCATCAAGGAGAATGCAGGGATTGGTGTTCCTCGCGCCGCACGTGCTGGCCCTAGCCGTAGTAACTTTTCTAAAGCAAACACCTAAAACAAATGGCATCTTGCACGCGCGTTCGGTAACACTTTATTTTGGTTATTTACTTCGAATCTTTTATACGGGGAAGGCGTGCGCGTGTGGCGCGTGGAACACCAATGTGTTCCACGCGCCACGCTTTGGTAATATAGCAAATGGTCTATAGCGCCACTTTTCCCATGATAGAGGGTCTTTAAGGCCGCCGCGCTATGCGCTCCTTCGATTGGTATCAGGATAGCCGTGGAAACAAAAAAAAAAAAAAGCCTTTATGCAGCTCCGCGAAGTAATAGCGTGACGAAACACAGCGGAGCGACCATGTACTTCAAGGTGCGCGCTGGCACATTCTCCTGTGTTCAGGTCAGGATTACAGTAGGTCGTGCTTTAGAGTACCACAAACTCTATATTTTCGACCACTAGAGTGCCTTCATACACACGCGCGCTTTTGCTTAAGTGGTGGCATCTCAGCCATTTTTCCGCCCAATCGTTTTTTTATGCATTTTGAAGTTCGCGCAATCCGGTGTCACTCAGCTCGAGCCCGTAGCTTTGGCTGATGCATAGGCGCCATTTTACCGCCGAAGTCACGCACCGAGTGTGCGAGAGCGTCACGCGCTGACACATCCAGGGTAAGAATAGATGTCTTCACCTTGAGACAGACAGACTTGTAGGCACCCTAACGACCAGATCATCTGAGCACTCCCTATGAAAGAGCCTGCTCACAGCTGAAGACCGAGTTTTAGCGCAGCCTAGTGACAGCTGTTTTCACTAGGCGGCACAAAAACTGGATACTCCTATTTCGTCGGGTTCTTCTGTTATCCGTGGGTGCGTACCAGCTGATCGCGGTTTCTGGTTTCAAGCGCCTTTACGCTGTAAAATGTTTTTCTCTATGTAAAGCATACTGAAAGAGTCCAATTCGTTAAATGGTTTGCTTTTTTTTTTAGTTTGCGCAGCCAACACCAATTGGTATTGGCTGCGCCCGCGCGCCATTAACGCCGTAGAGGACGACACAACCTGGTGCAGCACGGAAAAGACGAACAAAAAATACCGAGTCCCCAGACCCCGCCACGAGGCGCCGCTGAAACTCGGCCCTCCGGGAGGTGCGTGCTGGAGTGTTTCCAGATGGAGTGGGTGTAAGTATAGACGCTTTGCAGCAGCTGTGCATGGACGCCGCCATAACTGACCTTCATTTTTTGTTCCCTCTTATTTCGTTTATTTCACTTCATCTTTAGCATAGCAGGCCAGGTTATTGTCAAATTAGATTCAACTGTGTCCTTTTCTGAAGCTTGTAGAGGATGTGTCCTTTTCTAAAGGCTTTGTAGAGGATCGTCAACTACCGTTTCAGTTGCTCGGCATCTCGGTAAGACAAGAGAAGGTCAGCAATGGCGGCTGTAATTTGGCGCGTGTGTAAAGCGTCTATAGAGTAGGTAGTGCTTTAGAGTATGCTGGTATGCTGACTAAAAAGAAAACAACGAAGTGTTTGCTCAAGTGGAGGCTCCACCGGGAGCCATGAATGCAGAAAAGTTCTCGGCCAGTTCGTTCCAGCAGGTGCTCGAGAAAGCAAACGAGCATGCCACCAGGGCCGAGCAGCACGACCGCGACAAGAAGCTGCCGGAGGCCTTCCGGATGTACAAGCAGACCCTCCAGACCTACCTGACCGTCATCGAAGAGATGCTCTTCCAGTGCATCCGGTTCCAGGAACGCAACGAAGACCTGCTTCGAGCCATCACCACCTCGGACAAGTACCGGAAGACGCCCAACTTGCCGGACAAGAAGGCGGACGTTGATGTCAATGACTTCGAACCGACGTCTAACATGAACCGCCTCCCCGGCGTCCTTGCCTTCACCCCGGACAAGGCGGTCAAGTGGACCGATGTCATCGGACACGAGACGCCAAAATTCGTGCTCAAGCTTGCTGTCTTAGATCGTTGTCCCATCAAGCACCCGATCATGTTCACGGGCAAACGCAGGACCCTCAAGTCCATCCTACTGTTCGGGCCGAGCGGATGTGGCAAGTCTTACCTCACCAAAGCTCTGTGCGGCTCGGTTAAGGACTGGTTGTGCATCGACGTCAACATTGCTACGCTGATCAAGGATGCGCCGGAAGGTGCCGAGGATCTCTACATCAAGAGCCTCTTCAAGGCTGCCCGTTTGGCCACTTGGGCTGTGATCATTCTTCAGGATGTGCAAGAACTTTTCAAGACCGCTCAGAAAGCGGAAGATGACCAAAAGAATCAGAAAATTAGGCAAAGTATCGCGGATGAACTGAAGTTCCTCAACGATACTTTCACGCAGGAAATCACAATAGTAGTTGCCACGACGAATGCTCCAAAGATTATCGATCCGTACTTTGTGAACGCCTTTCAGAAGCGCATATTCCTTCCTCTCCCACGACCGGAGGAGCGCCTGAGGATCCTCAAGCAGCACGTCGGGAAGGCGCCGAACACGATCACAGACGAGCAGTGGATCGAGCTGACGGATAAGTTGGCGGGATACACCGGTGAGGATATCTTGAGTTTGGTCATACAGACGTACAAAGACGAAGGGGACCTCGAATTTGACGAGCTCTCCGTGGCTATCGATCAGATCAAGCCAAAGAACACGGCCGAAGACATACGGGATTGCTTCAAGTTCAAAGAGCAATACGCAAACACCTCTCCTTAACATTGCCTGTCATTAGGCATGCTAAAAAATTTGAGTGTTTTTTGCCTTTGTTTTTTTCTTTGATTGCTCAACGATAGCATTGTTGAAAAGATTCCGGTCAATAAAATTTTGGTTGCACTGAGAAACACACTGGTTTACAAAGTTGGACTTCACTCGTAAAGATTTAGCGTCTTACTTTCGTGTTCAACAAGGAAGCATTCAACCAAAGCTGGAATAACGTCATTCGAAATCGCTTGTTGACCTGGAAGTTACAGGTCAAGTTATTTATTCTAGTGATGCTGAGGTTCTCGACTGAGAGTCATAACAGAAAAGGTACATTGTTATATTCCGTTTTATTTTAATCGCAAGTGAAGCCGAAGCTACAAGCACGATAATGTAGTCTGAACAGTGCTAGCACTTCACGAGCGCGCATGCTTGGCAGAGACGCTGAAAGCCCGTACTCGCTTTAGTAACTACTGTTTAGCTCACACCTCAAGGCCGAGTATAACCGCGTTTTTTCTGCAGGGGAGATTAAAGTCACTGGATCCTGGGTAAGTAGTGACATTGCCTTCCCTACCTACTAGCCGGACACAAACAGATACTAACATTCAGACGACCAAAACCTCGCAAGGCGATTGGCTAATCTGTCTACGTCGCCATGCAAATCGCCATCTCGGTCAATTTAAATCTTTGAAGCTTCCAGGGGGTCGTTCTAAACCAGTCGCTCCAAGATCTCCGTGTGCATCATCGTGCTGGAACCATTCCTCGCCAATATAAGTGTCTTTGACACTGTGTATGCAATTAACTTATCAATCATGTCCATCTCCACGGATTTCTTACAATAACATTGTTCGTCTTGTGTACTTTAAATCAGTAAACTTATTTTTAAGTACCTCCAAGCATCGACACAGCATGGGGGGGGGGGGGGGGGGGGGTACGAAGATGTACGCTTGTTTCGGCGATGTGTGGATAGCAAAATGTCGGTATACAAGAAACGTCTCCATAGTGCTATGCGTCACCTGCGAATTTAGACCGGCTCACCAAGAACAGAGGGGTCAACGAGAAATTGCTTATCGTAGGAGAAGCGCATCCATTCTAAGAAATTCTGATTTCACGGACCAAGATGGCGCCCATACGGGGAGCTTGGCGCTACTTTCCCAGGATCCAGTAACTTTAGGGAGGATAGCCTAGCTCTTATCGCCCCTTTTCCTTCTCCTAATACCCCTGTCAGGCGGGCTAGTTTAGTGTCACCACAAGCGAGTGCACTTCAACCCGTCGAGACACACTCCAAGTGTGTTGGTGCTGCTACACGGGAAAACTTAATGTCACTCCAAAATGATGTCAATAACGATAGGTAAAGTAATTGGCAAGCAGAATATTAATGTGCATGCTCATATTTTTATGAATAACTTTGTCGTCTTATTAAAAACACGTTCACACATCGTTGCGCCAAGTCACGAGCTTTAATCCAAATTTATATCCAATTTGATGACTATGATCAGCCCTTACAAGCCAGGCAAATTCAAAATCTAAACAACACATTCATTTGCCCCCCCCCCCCCCACAAAAAAAAAAAAAATTGGTGTGTGCATGTTTATACAGCTTATAACTTGATCTGCCTCAACGGGCGACTTGTCTCCCAGCAGTAGATGAGAAATTTAGCCAGTACAGTAAAACCGCAGCCTGGGGTTTTTAACGTCTACCACGCAGCCGCCATGCACGACCGCATGCCGGTACAATACTCATCCAGATCGAAACGGGCAGGGGTGGGGTTTGAGCAACGAGTTTGAGCCCAGGATCCCTGGGTTCTGCAGAGTGAGCTTTCTCTCCGCGTGCTCCGAGCTGGTGTGCGCGAGCCCAGTAGGTCGCTCGGCGCTCGCCACAACGAAACGTCATGGAGTGTGTGGAGGACAAGCTGGAGGGCGATATCCGCGATGTTGGACAGTGGAAGCGCGTGGTGGAAGCACTTGTCTCCGTTAGAGCCTAACGCCTTTCAGATGAGAGGCAGCTGGAGCTGGATGCCGACGCACAGGCAAGAATTTCGAGTGACGTCGATCAGCATCTGCAGCCCAATGTCTTCACTCGTGCCACTAAATAAGTTACGCTTCAAAGTAACGACACTTGGCCATATTGTGACTTAAAATCGTGGTTACCAGTTATCTCAAGCTTTATCTGAAATCATGGAAACGCTTTTCCGTCCTCCACAAATGTTTAAACAGTTCGCGACAAAGCAAAGCAATATTACATGAGCTTTCTGACACCGAATCTAATGCTGAGGCAGTCTCACTTTTGAATCACGACGATCGGCAGTTGCGTCTGCTCTGCACAAGCCCCAAAATGGCGGCGCCCCGAACAATGTCGGGGAACGGAGTGCCGATACTCTAAGCGCAGCTCATTTAGTGGCTCTAACCTTCACCATAGCCGCTCTCATGACGGAGAGCCTACCCGTGATCAGTCGAGAACGGTGAAATTTCCAGAGGAACGAAGGGTGGTTCGAAGACCCCGTGCCCCATTGGGGAGAGTCACATTTCAAGCAAGCCTTTCGCGTCTCTCCTGCCACCATCAAATCACTGATGGAGTCTTGCAGGTGCCTCCTGGCTGTCGCTGGCCGTCGCGAAAGGGCCAAGGCTGGAAACTAAATCAGCCGCCTGTTTTAGAGCGCAGCTCTTAGGGGCCCGTTTCCAGCCTGAGCGGCGTCGCCGTCGGCGTCGGCGTAACCGCGCCCCTTCCCCTGCTCCTCCTCCTCCTCCCCTCCTCCTCCCCCTCCTCCTCCTCCCCCCTCCTTCTGCTCCTTTCCCCCTCATTGTCTAGTATGGTCCGGGGGGGTCACGTGACCTCGGGGGGAGGGGGTCACATGACCTTGGGGGGCGAGGAGGAGGGGGGAGGAGGAGGAAGGGGGAGGACAGGGAGGAGGAGGAGGGCAGAGGTCCGGGGGGTCACGTGACCTCGGGGGGAGGGGGTCACATGACCTTGGGCGGGGCGTCACGTGACTTCGGCGGGGAGAGGGGAGTCACCCCCTCGGGGTCACGTGACCTCGGGGGGAGGGTGTCACATGACTTCAGCGGGGGGTCACGTTGCCTCGGGAGGGTCACGTGACTACCCCCTCCCCTCCGAAGGTTTCAAGGTGATCACGTCACCTTGAAACCCTTGTAAGCTTAGAAGTGAAAACGTTTTGCTGCTCACGCACAGCATAAAAAAAAAGGTAGGCAGCATTTTAACTTCTAACTGTCTAAGCATGGGTGTCAAGCATAAACCCTGGGAAAATTTGCCCACTGCTTAACTACATCCTTTTTCTGTCATGTCCTGGTTGGCTGCTACACTGGAGAGGCTGCTGAACATCGTACCACGGCGGCTGATCATGGCGTTTTAGTTAAATTAATAATGGGGTTTTCATCCAGGACGTAAATTGGAAACTCGCGGAGCAAACTTTAAGGTACATTGGTATAACAAGTGCGTACGTTGGTTTTGTACGTTATTAGCGTAAACCTTGGCTGGATATGCAACGGAGTTTCCAATATACACCACGGTTTTTCCCCAATCAATAAAATGTCAACCTTCCAAAATATTGGTTCTGACTCTATATTTCAGAGCACAGCTCTTACGCGACCGTTTCCGGCTTGAGCAGCAAGGAGGAAAGCAGTACGAAGGTGGAGGAGGAGGGGGAGAAGAGACGAGGAGGCGGAGGCGAGGGGAGGGGAGGAGCTTGAAGGACGAGGAGGCGGTGAAGGAGTGGAGGAGGAGGAGGAGGGGAGGAGGACTAGCAGGCATGATCACGAGGGAGGAGGAGGAATATACCCTCCCCTCAGTACCCTTCCCTCCTCCTCCTCAAGAGCTGCGCTCCAATTCGGCGTTACAGGGAGTTGTAAACGGCCTTTACTTTTTTTCTACGATGAACTACTTTCTTGCGAACAGAAAACAAGTGCGCATCTAATTCTACTTTTATCAAAAAAATACTAATATTACGCAGCGTTAGTTTCTTCTATTATTTTTACTCCGTGAACACTGCTATCGAGATTACACACTCGGTTTACTGGAGCGAGCGTACTGTGCTCCCCGATCTCACTTCATCGGAGGTGTGTTCTTCGAGCAAGGCTGGGGATTGAACTCGGGATCACTCGGTTCTGCAGCGCGAGCTTTCGCTCCGCGTGCTTCGAGATGAAATAAATTACTGGTATCGCTGTAGTGACACAAAATACGACCCCAGCCAAAATATTACGTCCGGGGACGCCGCATTATCAACTAATACCGATAATAAAAATGCGACCCACCGCGAGCCGCTGCTCCTTAGCGGGCGACCAGCGGGTTGCTGATCACTAAAGCAACATTGGGCCGTGACGTCAGTATCGCTTTTTTTTTTTTTTACCTCCGGTCCGGGCGTTGCGCGGAGTGCGCTTCTTTGAGCCATTACCACCGCTACTTCGGCTTGTGGGCGTGTTAAGCCGTTGCTTTTATCTGTAGCCCGTGTCTTTTGTTTATTTGCTAGTGAGGACTCCAAGACTCGTTTTAGCGAGCAACTAGGTCTGCCCAAGACTGCCCAGCTGTTCGTCGAAAGATAATCATACATTTATAATAATAATAAAACTACATTTATTGTATGGAGCACAGCAATGTTTGCGTGACGGGCACATCAAAGCCAAAACAAGGCTTGTGGGATGCTACTCTAAAATTAACACTTTAAACGTGCTACCCGGTATACAAAAAGGAAATAAGACAGATTGACATACACACGTCCTTAGAATGTCCCAAGGTCATAATAATAATAATAATACTAATAATAATAATAATAATATTGTTTTATTCACTTTACAAATACATATAAAAAAGTTTGGCCAACAAAAGCAGTATTCTGCTTGTGCGTATGGACCAGGCAATCCAACGAAATACATATCAATGCAGCGTGATACAAAAAATCGAACGAGTGTGCAATGTGGACATCAATACCAACATTATTACAGAACAGGGCCCGAATTCGGCACACAACAAAATGAACACAGCTATTGAAATCATTATGGGACAAGTAT